AAAGAAGACCACTGAGTCAAGACCATTTACACGTGCAACTATCTATGTTGATGACGTCGACGGACACACACCATTTGTATGTTGTGATTGGATAATTTAAATTAGCAAGCAGTGACACTAATGAGACTTTATTAAACTAATTTTTCTCATTTTTTCGTTAAGGCGTGAAATATTATTTTGTACCGTAAATGGTACTTGAAATATTATAATGTACTGAAAATGTACTAAAAATCTAAATGTACTTTCAATTTACTGGAAAGGGCAAAATGTACCAGAAAAGTACAAATGTACTAGGAACGGCAACTCTGTTGCTTATCATGATTAGAAATGGTTTTAATCTGAACTAAGAAAAATTATATTTGAAGTAAAATTCCCTAAATTTTATTCGAAAACTTTGTGGTTACAGTTATCTTGAATTTCGTAGTAGCAAAACACTCCTCTAAAAGGAGTAAATAAAGGATATATAAAAGAAAGGAAGAAACTCATTTGTAATTCTAACACGTATTATTTCTAGGTTGAAGCAACCAGATCTCCATAGTTTCAGTAAATTTTTCTTGCTAACAAATGCACACCTTAAATTTAGAAAGTAACTTAAAAAGAATTTAAATAAATTTTGCAGAAAGATTTAATATTAATATTAAGAAAATCAAAAGCCTTTTAAAGATCCGCAAAGAAAGACAATAATAAGTGTGATTTTGGTATAAGCTATGTAAGTCCGGAGAGAATAAAAGCTAAATTCAAAACATCTTTCTCCTTAATAAAAGCAAATTGCTGCAAATCTGGCAAATTTCTCTTATCTTTCAATCATTCTTCAACATGTGGCAAAATACTTTCCTAAAGTTATTCAAAATAGTCATTGGTCTACAGTAGAAGAATTTTTACACATATCTTTCTTATAAATTAACGTTTGTTAACTTTTATTTATATTAAAATTTTAAGATACTCGAGGTAAACGTCTTTGCCGTTATTACATGTTAGTTGTTTATAAATTTATGTACAGAATATTATATATAACTTTTTAAAACTATTTATAAATGTGAAAATATTCCTCTTACAATAAAACCTCACTTATATGGTCACCTTCGAGATATAGGGGAGATCGGGGCAAGATCGGCATGTTAAGCTTTACTTAAATTTTGTGTAATAAATACTGCTGTAAACTGAAAAAAAAGCTTTGCATATTGTCTATTGGAATGTTACCTTACTATAGAACTGGTTAAAATCAGTTTGGAAATAAAAATAATTAAAATAATTACAACTTTACAAGAAGAGAGAAATTGACGAAGTTGCCCCGGGTATAGGGGCAAGATCGGCAACTTCTCTCTTTTTGTAAAGTTGTAATTATTTTAATTATTTTTATTAAAGTTGCCCCTGGTATAGGGGCAACAGTAATGGGGCAAGATAGGCACGTATATAAAATTATGTTATTAACAATGTATAAGTTGGAATTCACTATTAAAACAAAGAAATACAAATCCAACACCCATTTAATATTATTACAACGAAATGCAAGTTCAAAGACATATATACATGAATAACAAATGCAAACATGTTTTCATTTATCATCTGTTTGATTTTTATCCTTTGCTTCTAATGTGGCTTTATGTTGCCGATCTTACCCCGCTAGTCATGATTTCGAAACATTAAGTACAACCCTGAGAACAGAATGCCAAGCCACGATCTGGCCACGTGAATAAGTTGAAGTTACATCCTTCTAACAGGAAAAGTAACTTTCGTTATCATGGAATTATAACAAAACCTGCCAATTCAATATAAATGGAAAAAAAATATTATATGGAATTGAACGAAAATAAAAATTTGCTTGATAATTCAACTACGCTTGTTGGAGAACAATAAAAACACTACACTCAACAAGCCACCAATGAAACTCAACTGCCTAACCTATAATCAAAGTTTTTTTTTAATTTGTTTTTTAAAAAAAGCGCTTGACAAACTTGCCCCGCCTGCCGAAGTTGCCCCGATCTCCCCTACAATTTTTTGGCCACAAAAGTGAGTTGATCACTTAGATGGGGTTATGAAAAAAATTTATGTACAGAAATAACGTAACTGTACTGTATTCTGCTAAAAGTTTAATAAAAATTATAAAATTAAACAAAAAATAAAATAAAAAAATCATATAATATTCTACATACCTTGCAATATTGAGTAATTCAAACTTACGTACAATATATATATATATATATATTATATGATATGTATTTTAGTATTACATTTAGTATTTTAGTATTTAGTATTATATATATTGTATGATATGTATTTTAGTATTACATTATTTAGTGCATATAATATATGCACTAAATAATGTAATACTAAAATACATATCACATGTGCAATAAATGTAAACTGTTTGCAGTAAAATTTATTCTGTATTCTCAATACAATACTAAATATAATGCTTATCAGAGGCTAAGTGGATAAAATTACTGAATATTGATACTTGGTCAGGTTTGCGCCTGACTAACGGAGTTTTCCGAATTTTCTTAACATATATAAGATAGGGATCAGTCTTTTATAAAAAGTCCTCCTGGGAATCCCCTCCCTCGGCAGATTGCCTATATGTTATGTTGCTGTATCCGACCGAACCAAATTAAATGGAATCAATACCCAACGAAAACAATACGTCTATAAAATGGTAGTAACGTTTTTATTTAAATAATGTAAAAAAATCGCAGACAAAAATTATTTTAAAAAAAGTCATTAAATCTGCAGAAGTGTCCGAATGATGGAAAAAGTCGTTAATAATTAATCCAGCTCTTAGATCGATCGTTGCAGATTTATATAATTAAATTTTTGCAAAATCAATAATTTTATACAAAATCGGATTATTACAAATATATAATTGTTTATCTTACTAACTTATGGAGATAAATTTAATTTGTCGAGTGTAAATGAAGATTTATTTTTTTAAACGTCATCTGCTGGAGAAATCTCAGCAAACTACTGTATACCAAAATTATCGCAATAAAGCTTAATTCCATTTAAACAAATCGTTGAGCTCAAGAACGTGGAATTTTCCTGTTCTGTTGGCCCATAAACGTAGATAAGTGTCACTTTAGGATGCTCCCTATCTTAGCCAAGTAAATGAGGAGTTTGATTTACAGCTGTATATTAAAACTTATGCAGTTGTACAGAATAATTTTAGTGGTGGCCACAACTGAAACGACTACAAAGCAAAGTTTTACTGCATTTGTTTCGCATCAGTGATTCAGCTTTCCATTTTCAGTTTTCTAAAATTTATATTTGTTAGTTTTAATTTTCCTTGCTCTAAAATTATCTATCGTACACATTACTCTTAAAGATTATTCTTTCAAATTTATTATTTTTATTATTAATTCTAATTTATTACTATTAAAAACTATTTACATATCATAATATATTCAACTACGTCAGATCTAAATCTGATATAGTTGTTATTTATTCTTTAAATTTACCTCGTAGATAATAATAGTAATAGTAATAGATAATAGTATCGATAATATTAAAAACTAATTTTAATTCATTTTCCTTTCTATAAATCATTAGTTCTTAACCGTTTCCTCTGTTTTTTTTTCTTTTGAATTTTTAAAATAGAGAATTTTTCTCGGGAATGAAAAGAGCCTAATAAGTTTCTTTATTTAAAAAGGGAGAATTTTTCGTGTATATTTTAGTCTAGTGTTATGATATTGGGTATTAAGAATTTTATTAGATCTTTTTGCTGTTATAATAGTAAAAGTACCTAATAAAATATACCAATATGAAAATTATTGCTTTTCATATTTCATTAATAAATACACAACTAGTCAGAGCAAATAATATCGTCTCGAAAAATTACAATCGTTCTTACTTGATCTGCCTAGCAAAACGTTTGAATTTTTATAAAGAAAAACGAAGAAGATAATTAAGGATCTTGGGACAAGAACATGTTAACTCATCTTTTTAAGTTTCTGAGAAAATCATCCTAAATTTCCGATTTTTCTTTTTACTTCGAACAAGTTATAGGTTATTGATTATATCAAAGGCATATGAGAAATTAGTGTCATGAGTATAGAAATCTTATCTCTGCCTTATGTGTGTATAAATCCAAAAAAAATAAAAATAAAAAAGTTGAGTTAACATATTCTTGCCAAAGGCTAGATATGTTATACTAATTATTATACTTGCCAAAGGCTATGCTATTCAATTATACTTACACTAATTATTAAAATTAACACGAAAGAAATTCTTATTGATCAAATGTTATTTTATCAATTAGTTTGTGAAGTAAATACTTATATAGATATACAATAAATTTGATCAGAAACAAGTGAAATCTCCTTATATTCTAGGTCAACGATGGCGAATCTGAGATCTGCGTGACAATACAAGATTCCCGTATTAAATGTTTAGAAAATATTAAGTTTTTATAAATTATAATATATCTAATATTAAATATATGTATATTTGATAGATTTCAAAATTTTGTACATATAATTTAAACGCGGAGTGATAAAGTTGTCGTAAAAAATCTTTAAAAAATCTTGAACCTCGAAATTGCTGATAGTTTTTTTATGAAACGTAAATGAAAAATCAAAATTGAATATTTTACTTTATACTAAAATTCACAGATGTATTATCAATTATTTTAATTACACAGTAGACTCTACCTATTGTATATGAGAATAAGTTTATCTATAGCCTACTAATAACAATATACGAAGGATAACATTAAGTGGAGTAAGTAGTAAATGATATTACGATTAACTTTGATATTAAAATAACACGTTATGGTAATTAAAAATATATAACTTGACTATTTATTAATTATAATAATAATTATTTTTATTAACTTACGTGCTTTGGCATATTCTACAGAAATTCTGGTAGCGTTAAACGAATGATGATAATATCTATTGGGTGAAATGTATTAAATTTTTAAATATGATGAAAATGAAATGGGCTTCCAAGTCCCAAACAACATCTAATAATTGATTATCGAGTCGCAGAAATTATTAGCTCATTCGACCCCTTACGTGAGGAATGATCCTTCAAGGGAGAACCCTTCTATAAGAATATCTAATCGTTTAAGCTAAGTAAATACACTTAAATTACTCTATATTTCTATATACTATTAAAAAATTAACTATAATCTATCAAAAACAATATTTAAAACAACGTTAAACAACAAACCAGAAGAATCTTTACTGGATTTGGAATATGTATGTCTCTTTCAGTCTCTTGTATATCACCTCCTTCAACCAATTTCACAGAATTAAAACTGTTGAACTTTTTGATATTATTTTGAAGAACGTAATCCCAGATAATAATCAGAATAGATTTCAAGGTGAAATGTAAAGCATGCAATTTAAAATAGTTATTTCCTTTATTAATTTTTACATAAATGTAGACTAATAAATAGAAATTCGTTTTCTTTCTATAACCTTAAGTTCATTAACTCAATCGAAGTATCGAAAAATTCTTGACAAATTAGATTTTTAAAATAAATTTTTATTCGGAGCACGAATTAAATTCATTTTTCATTATTATCTAGGATTAAATTATTCAAAGTCAATATTTCTAATCGTTCATACAAATTAATAAAACCTCCATACAAAAAGAGAATTTACATTTTTAGGAGGAAGGATAACATTAATTACTTTGATTAATAGATTATATTTACACCAAATGGATTCAACTGAGTCATTGTTGGAGAATAGTCCACGAATTCTATCTGTCCAATTATTACAAATAACATTGTTAGAAAATGTTGATAGACATGAATGCTCAAATTTCTCACAGTTAAACATGTAGAAGCGAATCTGGATGATCATTTTTTTTAACTATAAACGGTAGCTGCTGATAATAGATGTAAAAGCATAGATTGTTGTCTAATATATTTGAGTACCATGAATGATACTTAGCCTTGAGAGCCCTGTCACCTTCTTTCAGGAAAAGATTGTCAAACTCGTGTAAAATTGTATTTGTATAATATTTTAAAACTTCTGAGGATAAATCTATTAAAGAAAATGAGATAAATAAAAATCAACACCTTTAAACATCCAGCAAATCGTTTTTTAATATTTTAAAAACGCTTTCGAACGCTTTAAGCGATCATCATCAGTTAACATTTGTGAATCGAATGAAGAAATTCGTTCGATTCACAAATTTCTTCGTTCGATTCACAAATGTTAACTGATGATGATCACTTANAAACGTATTCTATAAATACGTACTTATAAATGTATTTATAGAATACATTGTAAACAGATTAACATTTATAGAATATATTTGTATTATATGGATATTAATCTATTTATAAATGTATAAAATAAAATTTTTGAGATAATTAGGCCTATACTTTCTATTAGCAAAATTTCCCCGACTTATTATAAAATAAGGAAAAACTAAATTTTTAAGGAAGGTGCGAGTTTTTTCGGGATAAGAGAATTTCTCAGGAAATTTAAATGGTTAAAAAACAACCGAGATCCCGATAGAGAAACCCTAGTAACAATGTCATAAACAACGGAGGGTAGCATTTGAACTACAGTGGTCGGAGTGGCGAGAAAGTCTGGTTTATTGTATTTATTGTTCTAATTAAATATAAACTGGTCAAATTTACATAAAAAGGACTCGTAAGAGTGTACTTATAATTCTGATTCTAAAGTTTTTAATATCCCTAATATTTACGTTTTTTACTGCTGATATAATCGAAAACGGTGAGTAAAAATTTAGTTATATACATTCTTCAGCTCCATTTTTATCAAACAGATGGCCAACAAATATAGTCATCCACTTTTATAGTTGCACAAGAGAAAGGTGTCTCTCCTTAATGATTAAATCCCTCACCCGTGGGGAATTGCAAGGATGACATGTCTGCAGTTTTCGTTAATCCTGCCCCTTGTAAGGGCTGTGCTATTGTGGCATGAGGATACCAGATCTTTCTTCTCAATACCGTGCCAAAGATTATTCAGCTCAAAAATGCAGTCAATGATGGTTTTCTCTACTACAGAGCTCGGGAAATTGAGCAATATAATCCGTGGTTTCCTGCCTTCGGAAATCTTGGAAGTAACTTTGTCGTTTATAGTTGGTATGGCTTCGACATCATTGCAAAGAGTTTCATTTTCTGGTCTGCTTTCCACCGAATACAGATATCATTTCCCTTAACCTCCTTGACCGCATTCATATTGGTTTTTATGCGTTGCGGGTTTTATTTTGTTTTTCAATTCAGTGGTAACTCCTTTATGTTAACCTTAGCACCATTGTCCAGTTGTCTTAAGTATAGAATAAGTGCGTGTGAGCCCCAAGCCCCCCGTCATTTATTTTCTTATTAAGGGAGCGATTGATAATTTTCGCCGTGTTACTAAGTCTAGTTGAAAATTAAGCAATCTTCAAGTATGTGAGCCTGTCTTGTGGTATGGTGCTTTCCACTTAACGGACTCTCAGTTCCCGAATAATACCAATAATTTGACCCAAAGCAGAAAAGAGGTGATTGGCATTGTTCCGAATTTGCAAACGTTCCTCTTTCTTCACATTGTAATTTGTGAAGTCTAGACAGTGGTCGAGAATCCTACCGAGTTGGTAGCTGGATGGAGCCTTCTAGCGACTCCACAACAAGATGGTCCAGGTGGAGAGACAGATATTATAAAAGGTCCGCACTGAACGAAATAACAAACCAGGTACCAGTACATTCGAGAAAAGGTGGAAACACGACACAGCGCAAAGACCAGAGGGCCACGAAACTAAAATCAACTTGCGACAATAAAAAGGTTAAGCTAGAGAAGACCAGCCTGTTAAATCAACAGGGAGAATAAAAACCAAGAAGAACGCGTCAAATGCGAGTACCTCCAACCAGTGCCGAATCGAAATAGGGTATATTGGAATGCTACGAGATTAGGGCAGATAGGAGGAGGTTAACAATTGCCTTTGTCCTGGAACAAAACTAAAACGATATAACTTCCGAACGAAAGTCCAGAGCGATACACCTAACGGAACCGATAGGGAACAACGAGAGGTACAGTACATCCCACCGAAAATAAACCCGTCTGACAACGAGGAAAGAAGGACCAAGCTCTCGATAAAAAAACGAACTGAACTATGTAGATCGATGTGGGAGTTGCCTTTAAATAGCTCACAAAGAGCAGAATACTATGAGTATACCATATTATGTTAAGGATAACTCCGGAATAGCCCGAGAAGCAACAGCCCGAAGATAAACCACGTGGTCCGAAAAAAAGAATGACCGTAAAAAGTAAACTACTATGGGAACCCAAAAAATAAAACACCATTCGAGCCGGAATAATAAGACGAACAGAAAGGTATATAGAAAACGTAGTGCATTGAGTAGATCAAAGGAGATCGTCGTGGAAAGACGGGCGATTTTCCAGCATCCTCTTTCCGTTTAGCCAGTCTTCCGGTTTACTCAGATTCAGTTTTAGAGAGGTTTTACTATATTATTATTCACCAATAGAAAGATAGTTTAGAAATTAAAGTACGTCGTTTTCCTTCTTAGTTTGTCGCGGGTTCGTGCCCGACCAATGGAATGGCCGGGTGGACTTTTTCCGGTTTTTCTTTATGTGTCTATCATTGAGATAGACAAAACCGGAAAAAACTTGAATAGTAATCAGTTTCGCATAGAAAGTCCTTCCAAGAGGCAGTCTCTTTGACAGATTGGCCAAGTGCTATGTTGCCGAACCCATAATGGGCATAAAAAAAGCCGTCAGTGTCTACAGGTCATAAAAAATCACAAACAAAAACACATGCATTATCTAACAGTACCAGGTAGTTAATATACCAGAGAAGAATGTGTAATAGTCACACATATTTCTCACTAGCAGAACCATATCACCTTTTTTTATATATAAATATAATGGAAAACACGCAGACAGTTTATCATCGATATTAAATTCCTAGCATTGTTGATCTAATGACGTATTTCCCATTAAAAATCATTAAAAACAATGCTTTTCGGCAAATTTTACTGATTACGTAAATATTTCAAGCAGATACAAATCTTAAGACGTTACAAAAGATTATGACCAACCTGTAGTTAAAATTTAACTACAAGTTGGTTTAGAAAATTTAATTTGAATAAACAGTCTACAGAATTTTTACCTTTTTTTTAAATAATTTGAAACTTTTCTAAATAGCCTTAAAACGTCGGAAAAGTGATCAACAAATAAATAAAAAATAAAATTAAAGAAACGAATCAGAAGAGCTAAAATAATATTTATCTTATACCTTAAAATTTTAAAGTATCAGAACTTTCAGCACGAAAAATAGAATTTAGAAACAAAAAATTATATTTAAAATTACACTTACCTTTATTTAAAATAGTATAATATAAAATAAAATAATATTTAAACTAATATCTTATTTTTTAATTATTTGAAATATATAAAAGTCAAGCTAAATTAATACGTTACATAAGTAAACAGGAAATGATGTCTAACTTGTATGTTGTTAGAGCTATAAATAAAGGAAAAGAAATGCTTTTGACAGTGAGCGTGTATTGTTAATAGTAGAGAATTTACAATGAAGGTATATTCAGCTTTTCAACAGAACTCATATTATAATTTATTTAAACGTTAAATTTTTATGAAACGATCAAACTATTCCAATAAAATTACATCATTTCCAACTATTTCTCTATTCTTTATTTAAATGAAAGTTGGCATTGAAATTTTTAAATACGTTTTAAACTACTACTTTTATTTTCTTTTGGTCTGAATTTTCCTCGTTTCGCAATACTTCATACTTCAACTAATAACTAAAGCTAAGCTATTTCTTATATTACCTTTTAAAAATTTCTTTTAATTCCTTTCTTGCAAGATGATTAATTAATTTTTAGTTTATCTTAATGTTTAGTTAATGACGATTATAATCTATCTGGTTATGAACGCATCTCCAGAAGATATTTAATAGTATTAAAAATTTAATGCATTTTCTGTGGTAAAATAACATTCCAAAATTTCTCGAAAGCGGAAGTAGATAAACTGAAACTTTCTTTACGTTAAAACTTTATTTAATTATTTTATTAACGTACAGAAAATCCGATTGTTTACGAATTTTTAAAGTTGCAGTGGCGGATCAAGCATTGGAGGGGTATCAAGCGTACCTAATATTGAAGCAACCTAGTATGGTGGCTTGAATATTAATAATAGCGAGGTCGAGGCCGAAATTTTAAACGCTAAAACGTGTACGTCGGACGTTCAGCGCCACTTTCCTGTAAGCGTAGAAGTTTGACAATGGTGTTTGGAAAGTCAGTGGAATCATGCTCGACATTCCAAACACCATTGTCAAACTTCTACGCTTACAGGAAAGCGGTGCTGAACGTCCGACGTACACGTTTTCGAGTTTAAAACTTCGGCCTCAACCTCGCTAATAAGTATAAATAATAATAAATAATGTCTTAAGTCGAAAAATGTAAAAATATGGGGGGTCATACTTTCCCTCTACAACAGCCGGGAAAGTAAAAAACTAATTTGAAACTTTTCTCTCTATGTTTAGCGAATTTATGAATATTACATTCATAATCTAATAGCTAAACAAACATCGTTTTCTATGAATATTATTGACAAAATAGCAAGCGATAGCAAGCACCAAAGCGCACGACTACATTCTGAGCATCGGTCAAGGCTCGCTATCGCTCGCCTTGAAGATGCGAAGCATGGAGAATTGACAATAGTACTGGTTCAAGGTAAAAACTATTTTCGGTCAGTAGAAGATAATGCATTAATTATTTGTTATAGGTATTTGATCTCCAAGCCTATAACAAAACTTATTTGCAAGCATGACGTCCACAGGCAAGATGGCAACCGGAACTGTTACCGCTGGGTTCCACATTTGGAAGCGAATATCTCGCAAAGGGTCGGCTGTCGGATATTTCTTTATTATTTACCAATAAATATCGTTAGAATATCTGTTCATCGGACCGGACTGTACTAACTGCTAAACACACGATAGGTTTAGCGGAGCATGCAGCCTGACTCCCTATAACCCCTGGAAGTAGGCTTTAGGCTGATTTCGGAGCTATATTTCGCGAAGTGTCACAGCTAAAGATATAGTTCCTTTGACTTTTTTGCTCCTATGGACATACTTTACAGCTGTGTTAAAGTCCCAACAGCGTCATTCACATCTGCAATCTTATCGCTGACGTACTCCTCGCTAGTACAGTCTTATCCATTTGTGTAGGCTTTGGCGATCTCTTCGACGAGGTCGACCGCCCTCTTCTAATCTGCGAATCCGGAACTGCTCACTTCTTTCCAACGAACTTTGTGCGGATGCCAAATCGATCGAACTGTAGGATTGTCGATGGGGAGCATCCAAAATCAGTACCGACAGAGAGGTCGAGAGAATCGTAAGATTGGGCCAACACTGACATAGACTCGACAGTTACAACAAATCGTTTATTTGACACGAAAGGAACTTAGATTTCTGCAATATTAGAAGTTCAAAGTCGGTGCTCATCTTTGAGTCTTCCTCTCCTTTCCAAGATAGTCCAAATGAAGTGTCCTTGGTTCGCGACTGAAATTACAGTATGTTCCGACAGAGTGATACAGTAGACTTCCGCTGATGGGAATATGTCGTTCCGTGGAAGGAAGACAGAGACGAGGATAGGCACAAGACCCAGATACATATGATCCGAAACTTGAAATTTTTGGGAGAAGTCGTCGCGTCCTTGAAATTTGGGTTTTTTTATATTGTTCTCTGTTCCTCATCACCCATTCCGACTGGTCGTTTTCCCTCGTTCTTGCTTCATAAGTGATCGATCATTCGTTGCTAAGTGTAATGAGATCGCGGGAGAAGTCAAAATCAACGTTAAATTCTATCCCAACCGGAGATGATAATGTTAGGACTATCTATATTATTGTATTGTTTATAACTTCGCGTCGCGTTTTTCATACAATGTATATATCCACCTTCTTTCTTTCTTTTTCTTTCAAGAATATTTTAACGCAAATTTTAGTGAGGGTTCAGACCTGTCCAGAGCCTCAGAGAACTCAGAAAATCGAAATTCGTGGGCTTTCGTCAAACTTGGCAATAAACAGAGTATCGTGTAAGTTTCTTCCCCCGAATAAACGATTCTATCGAACGACGAGTTGCTTCGTACCAAAAACACAACTATGTACAGTACAGTACATGACCCCGTTCTGTCTGTGCGTTCTAGCCTAAAATTCTTCACTATGGCTTAAGTTCTCGCCTTAATGTAAACTTTACGCTGTTAGGCCGTAACGAGAATCATACAAACCTCATGAAAAGCTTATGATTATTTTCTCTATAATTTTAGATATTCTAATATTCTGATTAAATGCTATCTATTTCAGATATTATTTCACAAAATCTACAGTTTTGTATTTATGTATAATATTAATTAAATATATCAATTAACAGATTTGGTTTCTTTTGAATAATTTAGCATTAGTGAATGAATGAACGACAAGTTAAAGTTAACTTATTCTTATGTAGAAGCATACACTAATTCATAATAAGCAGACCTGTGCTTGGTTTGAATCTGACATATAACTTCTAAGGGATGAAAGTTTCGCGAATTAATCTAGTTCAATCCATATAACTTACTATTTACCTACCTCATATCAAAATTTGTATGATTACCTATAAAGTTAACGATGAAAAATTTGTTTCTTATACTGTTGATCTGGTTTCGATTAAGTTGTCCGACAAGGTACGATGAACATCAACTCATTTTCTATTCGTTAACTATTAATTAAGAGATAATTTACTGCTCGTAAATTACAAGGTTATTTCTATTGTTGCTTGCTTGACCTTCTTAGTATTAAATGACTCATTTCAGATTTAAAATTACTTATTTACGTAATTTTGCTTGTTTTATTAAAGGATAAAATGTTGAGCATTTATAAAAGTTTAACAAAAGAAACATTTTTGTTTTAAATAATATAATTAGGTTTTTTAAAATCTTTTTCCCGATGTACACATCAAGATATGATGCAGTAAGATTATTAACTAAGATTTATAGCAGTTTTAAAATATCTGATCGAGATCGTTTCTAAAATTTAGCAAATTTGCATTTATTTTATACTGTTTTTAATTTTAAAAATATACAAATTTATATTATTTTATATTTTAAAACTGTTGTTCTTAATTATCTCCCTTTGAATTTAAATAAGTTATTCAACTTCCAGAGAATATTATTAAGTCTTTTTTTTTTTTTTATTTGAGAAGTTTAGATCATTTCGATTTATGTTTATTTCATGTATATTTTTAACTCATCTTTACGTACTATACTGAAAATTAATCAAAATAACCAACACCTTATTCGTTGCCGAAAGAATTTATTAAAAAAAAGAACGTTTTCGATCGATAAACTCCTGATTTATCTTCCTTCTTAATATCCGCTTTACCATTTCTTAGAATTTTGTATAGATTCGGAGCTCTAAGAAATGATAAAGGGGATATTAAGAAGGAAGATAAAGCAGGAGTTTATAAGATCCCGTAAGAGAACCAACAGTTAGGATTAAAAAAGGAGTACATAGGAGTTACAACGAGAAACTTGGGGTCAGAGAATATAAATATGATGTTAGGAAAAGATCAAACGCAACGTTGCTGGCCCAGATGGCTCAAGCCCAAGGTTCCGTAGTTGGATGGGAAGAGGCTGAAATCGTTGACAAATACACTCTCCAACTTTAGCGAAGACTGCCGAAAAAATGGAAATATACTGAAGCAAACTTGATGATAGATGTATAAACGCTAGGGATGCAGAGGGCCTACCCTCAGCATGGAAGTTTGCTATTAAAAGACTTACAAATAGCTTATGAATTGCGCCTTGATCCGCAATCACGTTATGAGAACCTTTATAGATTTTGTTAACTGTTAGCGGCTTGTACTATTATTTAATTATTGTTGTATGTTATTTATTTTTACACTTTGTATTTTTTACGCTTTAATTATTTTACTTGGTTGCTCGGTTGTCGATATTTTTTGAATTTGAATTTCGTCTTCTATTCTATGTGATTATTCCATATTCGTCGGTTTCAACCTGAAGATGATCTATAGAGTAGATCGAAAACGTTCGTTTTTTAATAAATTCCCTCGGCAACGAATAAGGTTTTGATTATTTTGATTAATTGCTTTGCTGAGTACGTTTCTGTTCAATGAAAATTCATCTTTGTCCATTTATCAATATAACAATGTTTAGGTCTAGGTTTGAGAGTTATAACATAATTGGTTAGTTGGTTTGATAGGATATGGCAACGCAACACATGGGCGATCTTTTTTCGGAGAGGACTTTCTACGGGAAAGGGGCCTCTATTTACATATTAGGTATAAGAAAAAAATCCGAAAAAGTTTCAGATGGCCAGCCCCTTGGTCAGGCGCAAACCCGTGACCAGTGTTCAGTGTTTATCTACTCAGTTACTGGTGGACACTTTACAATGTGAAAAATAAATAACTACTTACATTATTTAAATTTCCTATTGGCACATTTTATTAACAGCTTATTTAATAACAAAACTCAGTTCTCAATGAAAATGACGAACAAAGATTTTAAAAATTCAGCAATGAATTGCGTAACTTTCCCGACAAAATTAAAATTGTGTGGGGGGATCATTTGTTATGAGATTTTATTAAAACAACTTTTTTATATTTTTAATTATTATAAAGAGGCGAAAAAGCTTAATTTTGAGGATAGAAATGAGTTTTGTAATAGAAAAACAAATGTAAGTGCTAATAACTAAAAAAACTTCATTAAGTAAAATAAAATTAACTCCAACTCCATCCGAGATATGACACGTGATCTCTCCTCTATCTCCCCAACCCTTTTTACCACAAAAATTTAATAGCATCAATGCCCCTTATACAAAAGCTACCATGCCAAATTTCGTTTTTCAAACATTACCCCCATCCTTAGATATTAAACGAAATATATGCCAAAACACAGACACACCCGCACACACATGCATACATATTCAAGGAATACTTTTCTTTTTACGTTTTTAGAGTTTAGATTCTCAAAACGGAATTTGCAAAAAACGAAAAAAAAAAATTAACACTATTCCAATACTTTTCCGTGTTATATACATAACAATCCGGGAAAGTAAAAAAAAAACAATTGTAAATTATTCTTTAAGTAATATATATTACAGAAATGTTTCATTCCTCCAAAAAATAGCTCTTTCTCGTACTGTACCTTCGGGTTGTGCTTCCTGATTAAAATACAATCCTTTACAAGTTATATAAAATTTAAGTTTTATAAGTAGTTATTTCTGTAAGCTGTCAAGCATACAGGTAATTTTAAATTTAGTTTTTAACAATGTATTGTACTTTTTACCATTATTTGATTATTATATATAATTATCTGCGTCATTTCTAGTGTTATTTTTATTAGTTATGTCTCAATATCATATGATGTCATTTATTCATCAATAACTATTTTTTATTCAATTTTTAATTTATTATTTGTTATGTTTTTCCTGGTCGAAATTTTATTTCCTCCTCAAGAACTTTAATTGTTTCATTATTTATAATCTTTGTAAAATTAATGAAAAAAATAACTAAAAGTCAAATTATTTTAAGTAAATCAATGTACTATACTTATTATTATTATCCTTTCAGTATCCTGAGAAAGGAACATATTCCTAATTATTTTAATATAATGCATTTTAATTATTTTAAGTTAAATACCTTGTATAAGCTAATTATTTCAACGTGACTATATGCAATATATGCAAATCAACACTGCACATAGCCAGTGTTTATGTATGCTTCTGATATATAGACATTTATCTCATATATGTGTGTTTGCGTGTATATAGTCAGCAGTTCATTGTTACTGTTACATTCTATTATTGCATCAGAGTTTCTTTCAGAGCGATTTCACTAGGATCCGTGTACTTGAATGTAGAAAAATATTATATTTTTATTTTCCGTAATCTATAACTAAAATTTAGTATCTTCTTCAAATACAAATGTAAACAACAAACCACAGCAATGTAGCAGTATCCATGACTTTTTCACTGAGAAATTAGAATAGTGTTTCTAAAGTAGTTTTCAGAACCTCATAAAATATTCTTTATTACTCTGTAATAAAGATTATTTTACGAGGTTCTTTTAACAAGCATTTAAAATTTCTGCAATTTTAAAATAAAATGTAAACGGTTTTCAATAAATTGACATTATTACGTAAAACAGAACTTAAATGAAATGATAAAACATTTTATAGATTAATTTAAAGCTAAGAACATGCCCAAATATTCAATGACTAAAACAGAATCGAAAGCAAATGATAAAAGTTTCTACTGATTTGTGAGATAAATCAAATACAAAATAATATAAAAACAATCTGAGAATTTGTCTAAACTTTTTCTAATTATTAAATACGGTAGCAACGGTGACCTTATTTTTGGGGGGAGGAGAAAATTGTTTCATATGAGAAAAAGCAGGCTGTGTTTATTTTATTCACTAAAACTAAAAACCTTTATAATAGTTATTATAAAATATAAGAATATACTAAATTTTTTAATATAAATAATACAGTATTTTAAAGAATTATATTATTACTAACAGATGGCCCGGCTTGCTCGGACAAAAAGTAACAGCAAAGATTAAGTTTATTAGATTATAGCCGATCTTACCCGTTTTTACCATGTGCAAGAATTAGATCCTCCCCCCCTCTTCCAAGACTAATCACAGAATTTTTAGATGGATCTAAAAATATGTTCGATTTCCCCCAAAAATGCAAAAAACCACATCTAAAATAGCACAATAGAAGCTGAGTTCTTCAGGGTAATCCTTAATCATCTCTTCTCTTCCTCTCATATATAGTTAATCGGGGCCTCCTGTTCCGATTAACTATATATGAACTTCTGATGTAAACCGAAAGTTACGTTATTTCATTTCAAAACTTTTTCCGTGAAAGGTGTTAGATATTTGACCAGTACGACTCAATTGCTAACTGGAAAAGACACTACTAATTTGAGATGGACAGCATATATTTTAAATTAAATAAATTAAAAAATAAGAATAAAAATTGCAGCCCTCCATTCTGGCAATGTCACAATAAATAATTGCTCGTTTGTAATTTATAATTATTTCGCTCCTAAATAATGAAATTTAAGTTATAATCTATTTGTATTTTTGTCTAAAAGTTATTCTCTAGAATTTCATCTGTATATTAGATTTCAATACCATTTTAAAAAAATTTTCTAAACATATTTTTCAAACTATTTAATATTTTTATTTTAAATCTCTTTATCATTTACAAGCTCACTTTTTCACTTTTTCACAATGACAGCTCCAAAGACTTACTTAACTGTTGTTTAGAAATATAAGAATATTCTCAAAAATAAAATACTGCCAAATTCCAAGATCATTTTCCAAGCCATTATTTATAGTTTTCTGAGTCATAATTTAAAATTTAAAATACAAGTATGAATGAAGAATTGGTCGATAATTAAAGAGAAATTTAGATAACCTCCATAAAACAATTTCAAAATCAAATGCTGATTACGATATAAAAATTATTTGAAAATAAGAAAATAAATTCAATTTTAATACTGTGTATACATCAAAACGTCCAAAACATACATTCTCTAATAAAAGAATGTAAGCTAAATAAATAAATATCTTATTTAAGAAATTGCATAAAATGAAAATTAATTAACGTA